TTAAGTTTCTATGGGCATCAAAAATTATCTTCAGAAAAATGGAACTGTTTAAAAAAAAATCAAAGATGTTAGTTAGAAGGATGCCCCCTATTTACATAACACAGCCAGATGCCTCAAAACCTTCTAGAACTAAAAGGACCTCTGCATGTATTAACTTAAAAAAAATAAATCACTCTTCCTGCACTCTTTGTAGCTAACGGATCATTAGCGGATTTCAAAGTTGACCACCCACAGTGCCAAGAGAGGGAGCTTCCCAGTAGGAAAGTGTGCAGGATGAATCCTTATGAATAATGTCTGTAGATACTTCTGAAAACTAAAATTGCTATTGGCAGAAATAACCCATCTCTATGTATAGGCGCTTCTATTTATAGAACCACAGCACAGGCGTAGGAAAGAATGCAAATGAGATCCCCAGTAGCCGTGGTTCAAGTGGAACTTGCATTCCTTTTTCATGAATTTCACACCACAGTAAGAGTCTGCTGATTACAAGGCAATACCTGCCTTCTCCCCAGCTGCCCTAAAGCATTAAACTCCTTTCAGATGAATTGTCAGCTGTACGTGCAACCTGGTGCTCCAGCACCACACATAGTCTTTCTTTTTACTAGTAAATATATATATTTTTAAAATATATTTTATTGATTTTTTACAGAGAGGAAGGGAGAGAGATAGAGAGTCAGAAACATTGATGAGAGAGAAACATCGATCAGCTGCCTCCTGCACACCCCCTACTGGGGATGTGCCCGCACCCAGGTACATGCCCTTGACTGGAATCGAACCTGGGACCTTTCAGTCCGCAGGCTGACCCTCTATTCACTGAGCCAAACCAGTCAGGGCCTTTTTTTTTTTTTTAGTTATTATTGTTTAATAAGGTAAATAAACCTGAAGGTGCCAGGGATTAATGATTTAATCCTTGCAACTAAACCAATATCGCAATGAGATTAAGCCCTTTTTAATATTCTCAATTTTAGATGAGGAAATTGACAGATGTCCAAGGGCATCCAGCAGAATTGGAACTGCAACCCAGGTTTGACTTCAGAGCTTGTACTCTTGAGGGCTAAGATTTGTAAAATGTTTTAGTCAACCAAACACTGTTCCATAACCTAGTTTAAACAGGTGCACTCAGGGCAATAGAGACAGGAAATCACAGGGAACAGGATATGTTCAGACACCAGCAGCACTTCAGTGTGGGTGGCACGCTGGGGGTATGCAGCAGGAACATCACATGGAAAAGGCAAGTTTCAGTTGACTCTGGAAAGTTTGAGCCCCAGAAAAATCAAATCTGGCTCATATAACAGTAAGTACATATCCAGTCAGGATTTGAACTCAGGCCTAACTGGATGGCACGCTGTGGTAGCTGTATCACCAGATCTCTTTCAAAGAACTTGCTGCCAAGACATAGCTTTAGGGTCTGCCTTAGCTGCAAAGAGCTGTCTCACCAGGTTACTGCCCTTCCCAGGCACCAGGATCTAGAAACTGAGGGAGGAGGGGGTAAAGGGTGGTGGCGAAGGCCCTGACATCCCCCACGTCAGCCCAATCTATGACAATGAGGGGCAATACTTGCTCCAGAACTCCCTGCCATACTGGCTGAAGCTTTGTTGAGTCTGCCTTGCAGCTGACTCCTTCTCATGCCAGTCCTTCTTCCCATCTCCCTCTTCATTTCAGATACGTATCTTCCGTCTGAAACTCCCATCTTAGCATCTACCTATGGAAAATCCCATCAGGTCTTATATAAGAGGTAAGTATAACGTTATTATAAAGTCTGTGAAAGTATGGGCCATGATCTATAAATGTGGTTAACAGGAAATAAGGAAGCAGGAGAGTAAAATGTGAAAGCATGTCTAAAAAGAATGAGTGATGAATGAGCATACTTGAATTACTGAGTCTGAAGAATGAACTGGCCGAATCTTCCAGCAGAGATGGGGGCCTGGTGTCCCACTGCTGTGCTGATGGGAACCACAGGGCCCAGTGTGCACTTCATGTTCTTGGAAACAGTTTACTGATTGGCCAATCACAGAAAGGGCCACTTCAGCACAGGCCACGCTAGCCTTCTTATTGCTACAATCCCTGCTCACCCACATGGAGTAGACAGTGACTAGGAGACCCTGTATGAAATGAATTCACATTCCCTGGCACCTTCAGGTCTATTTACCTTATTAAACAATAATAATTAAAAAAAAAAAAAAAAAAGATAGCCCTAACCGGTTTGGCCCAGTGGATAGAGTGCTGACCTGTGGACTGAAAGGTCCCAGGTTCGATTCTGGCCAAGGGCATGTACCTTGGTTGCGGGCACATCCCCAGTAGGGGGTTGCAGGAGGCAGCTGATCGATGTTTCTCTCCCATTGATGTTTCTAACTCTCTATCCCTCTCCCTTCCTCTCTGTAAAAAATCAATAAAATATATTTAAAAATAAAAAAAGATAGATGAAGGTGAGACACAACCACCAGCCTCGAGTCCTAAGCCCTGGCTTTGTGGTACCCTCCTGCTGGGCACAAATGGAAGCACCTGAAGGATAGAAACTACAAAATGAACTTGTCTCAGTTCAAAAACATAAACTTTGAAAAAGAAATGGGAAGAGAAGACACTAATTTTAAACTTTAAATCCTGGAAAATGCTGTTGTTGCCACTAAAGTGTCTCAGATTCCTGCTCTTCCTATGCCCCTCCTTTCAAACCCTCAACACCCCTGGAAGATCTTTAATACATACTTGGAACATCTTCAAATCCATCCCAGAAATCTCCTACTGTGGCTCCTGTGATGATTTCATTGGTCCTGCAATTAACTAGGTCGACTTCCTGACCTCCAAATTCTTTCCTGAAGGATTCAGGTTTCCAAAGTTCAGTGTTCAATTTGTGATGCACTCCTGACACCATCACTGGCTAAAGAAGAGAATGAAGACTTTAGTTTGAACTCCTCCTGCTCTGACCCCACACCTGTGGCAGCTACTGGCTTGGTCTCTATAGGTCATTTTATCTCAGATCCCGAAGTGCCAGCTTACACTTCTGAGCTCCCACAGCATTTCCTGTCTTCATCACTCATCTGTTCTACACATCCCTTGCTCTCAAACTACCTCAGTAAGCTTCTAGGGCAGTGGTTGGCAAACTGCGGCTTGCGAGCCACATGCGGCTCTTTGGCCCCTTGAGTGTGGCTCTTCCACAAAATACCACGTGCGGGCGCGCATGTACAGTGCAATTGAAACTTCGTGGCCCATGCGCAGAAGTCGGTATTTTGTGGAAGAGCCATACTCAAGGGGCCAAAGAGCCGCATGTGGCTCACGAGCCGCAGTTTGCCAACCACTGTTCTAGGGGCAAGGACTCCACTCCCAGTATTCACAGACTACCAGGGCCAAGGCTCTGGGCAGGCAGAAGATGTGGTAAGACAAAGGCCAGCAGGAGAGTCCGGTCTACAGAGGGCACAGCCACTGGCTTCCAACCTGTTGTTGCTAGGCAGGAATATAGACCTGAGGTTGCCAAGTCCTTTAGTTATCTAAGACAAGCCAGAAATCCTGAACTTTTTGAAATCTGACTAAAATATTGGCAATCAGTTCAATTTAAAAAAATTATGTTATTCATGCTCTTGGTCTAAATTCAGTCTGCTAGTGTCATCATGAGCAAATCTTAGTACACAGGGCTGAAAAAAAATTTTAGAATTTTTTTGTTAAATATATACATTTTTCTGTATGGCAATTTCCTAGCCTTGTCCAAGAGGGAAGTATTCCTTTAGTGAGGACTCCATTTAGCCCAGAAGAAAAGCCAAAGATTCAGAAAACAAAAACCAAAACAAGCAGAGGAGCAGGTGTACATAGCCATTCATCTCCTAAACTATCAACCAAAACTTAAGATGCAGTGAGTGCACTGGCTAGTATTTCTCAGTGGTTAGAGTATCAGCCCGGCACTGAAGGGTCTTGGGTTTGATTCCTGGTCAAGGGTATGTACCTGGGTTGTGGGCTCAGTCTCTGCCCTTGGTCGGGGTGCAAGTGGGAGGCAACCAGTCAATGTGTCTCTCTCACATCGTTCTCTCTCTCTCTCTCTCTCTCTCTCTATCTCTTCCTCCCACCCTCCTTTCCACTCTCTCTGAAAAAAAGCAATGGAAAAAAAAAATCCTTGGATAAGAATTTTAAAAAAACTTTTTTTTTTTAAAACTTAAGGTGGAGCAAGGCTGCCCTGTAAAGCAGACCCCTTGGGAGACTACACATCAATTACAAGATGAACCACCTGGCTCTGGTCCACCTAAAACTGCCTTCAGCACAAGGTTTTAATTCATGAAAGAGGGATACATGATTGTCATAGTTTGTCTAATCCCCCAAATCCCATAAGCCTCCTTGTCATACTCCACTTCTGTTGAGATTTATCACACAAGAATAACTGAGTCCAGGCGCTCTCATCAAAAATCCAGTAACTAGCCCTAGCCAGTTTGGCTCACTGGATAGAGCACTGGCCCAAGGACTAAAGGGTCTGGGTTCAATTCCGGTCAAGGGCACGTACTTCAATTGCAGGCTGGATCCTCAGCCCGTCAGAGCATGTGCGGGAGGGCAACCAATCGATGTCTCTCTCTCACATTGATGTTTCTCTCTGTGTGTTTCTCCCCTTTCCTTCCCCTTTTCAAAATCAATGAAAACATATCCTCAGGTAAGGATTAACAACAAAAAATTCAATGACTAGTCAGAAGCAATCAAAACCTCACAAGCCATACTACTCTGCCTTAATAACATTCACCCTAAATAATAAAGTACAAAAACAGGAGATAAAGTAAATACTACTTCTAATTGGGGAGAGGGGTGGTAGAAGGTGGGGGGGATGTCAGAGTCTGCCAAAGGTACCAAGAAGGGGGATCTGAACTGGGCTGGGGGAGCAGAGGACCCTCTTACCTGCCCTTGTTTCCAGCACTCCCTAAACACATTCCAGTTGCTCTTGTTATTGGGATCTTGCAGGCACAGTAAGCGATTGTCACATAGCCAGTAGTGAGGAGTGTCAAAGCCCAGAATGCTGGGCTTGATCGTCAGTCCTTGAGGCCTCTTAGATAAATCAGAGGAAGTCTTATTTTGCACTAAAGAGGCAAAGATGTCATCAAGGATTTTTGGTGTATTCTTGAGTCCATTTTCTGTCTGAATTTGAGAAAGAATACAAGTCTTAAATGTCATTCCCTACCATCAAAAACTCATTCCTATAGTGGTAGGACAAGTATACATCACATATCCAGAAAACAGTCCAAGCCAGGACCCCAAGACAAAAAGGTAAGTCTCCTTCCCCCACTTGACATCACAACTCACAGAAGTGGGTATAGGCGAAAGTGTAACAGGAGAAAATTGCCCAGCCCAGTACTATAACCCTGTGAAGCCCACCTGCCAATCACACAGCCTTCTGTACCCATGAAGAAAAGCCTAGGGTTCATTTCTACTTTCTGTTTCAATTTTTCTAGTCTCATCTATTCACCTTTACTAGGCGGAGTACAAACAGCAAAACAAATGCATACCTTTCCCGTAGAGGAATTCAAGAGATTTCGGAGGAAACCAGAACTGTTGTTGCTTACAGGTGTCAAAATCGTGCTGTTAAAGGTATGGAGGACTGTGCTGGACTTGCTCAAAGGAGGCAGGGGTGGAAGGCATTTGATTTCATTCTTTAAAGTTGGCATCATTGGTTGTTTTTCTAAAAATAAAAAACATCCAAATGGAAAAGCATTCTGAAATAAAATCTCTTAGTAGTCCTCTATTAAAACTACTTTGGAACCTGTTTTCATTTATTAGAACAAAAAAACTCAACAGGATAAATACTAATGACATTATATAGACAAGGATTCCCAACTGGTATTAAATAACAAAGATCCAATTCCAGGGGATACATGGTAAATGATGTATATATATTTTTTTGAGTTTTAGAGGACATTTATTAAAACTGGAGACAATAAAATAAGGAAGAGCTGGGGAAATGAGCCTAGGCTGGTCTGCTCTGGCTCACTAATAAGTCAGAGAAAAGGGGGCCTCGGGACAGGCTCAGGGGGTTTGCCCAGGATAAACTGCCACTGCCCATTGCTGCCCTGGTTGCAAGCCTTGTAGGGACCCTTAGAGTTTAGGAGATGCACGCCTGTGGGGAAAGAAGGAGAGAAGACAAGAGGGTGCTCCTGAGAAGGAGGGGAGGCTAAATGGTATTTTTTAAACTTCTGTTTTCTATTTGTTTGTTCCTCGTATACAAAATACAATTGATTTTTATAAATTAACAATGTAACTAGCAACCATGATAGAAATGTTTATTAAATATATGCTTTTTTTCACATGTATAATTAGATTGTCTGCAGATATCAACAGCTTTATCTCTTTCTTTCCAATTCTAATATCTTCTTGTTTGCCTTAATGCAATAGCCAGGATTTCCAGCACAATGTTTAATAAAATAGTGATAGCAGGTATGGCTTGTCTCTTTCCTGAACAGAGGAACACTGTAAAAAAAAACCTATTCAACCAATTAAAAAAATTCAATCACTATTTATGATGATTGATGTCAGTTTTATTGTAGAAGCTCATTATAGTAAGTACTAGAGGCCCGATGCATGAAATGTGTGCAAGCTAAGTAGGCCTTCCTTCCCCCGGCTGACGGCACCGGCTTCCCTCTGGCACCCAGGAACCCGGCTTCCCTCACAGCCCCCGCTTCATCCAGAAGGACGTCCGGTCTAATTAGTATATTACACTTTTATTATTATAGATATTCCCTTCTGTTCCTAAGATTTAAAAAAATCATGAACAAGTATTGAATTTTCCTACTTTTCTTTGTCTCATAATTTTTCTTGTACTTTTTGAATGTTAAACTACACCTGCATTTCTGATGCCCTTGTTCATGCTGTGTAAGTCCTTTATTGATGGTACTGAATTCTATCCACTTAAATTTTGTTTAGGATCTTTGCATGAAAGAAACTGACCTGCAATTTTTCTTTCTTTTAACATAAACAGAAAGCAGAATCACGTACATTTCTAATCTAACTACCTGATTCCAAAGGCCGTATTCTTTACACTATCATCAAGCATAGATGAAAAAGCACAGATAAAGAAAAATAAAACTGAAGCCAGAACACTGAACATTAGACAAAATAAGATCTGTATATAGGATAAGAATAGGAAGGCAAAAAAGTCTCAATCTCCACCTAACTTACCGTCTACCATCAGCAGTAGCTGTCCTTGCTGGTGCTGCATTTTGAAAACATTTGCACATGTGTCAGGTCTCATGGTGACTATAGGGAACCACTTTCCCTTCTACACGACCTCTAACTACTCTGTTCTCACAGCAGCTAAGGCTGCCCAGTCCCTCCCCAAATGGACTACAGTTCCCAGGAACCCACAGGAAAGGAGGGAACGCTCACCCTTATTTTCCTTGTTGACATTTCCACCTGTCAGGTCGGCCAGCCAGTTTAAAGGAGAAGTGCTGCTGGGACAGGCTGGCTTGATGCTGCTGGCCGGCTTGGAGGCGGCTCCCCCACCCATGGCCACTGGCTCCACCACCGAGGGGTTCTGTTGGAGCATGGTTCCAAGAGTCGGTTTTTCTCCAGCTAAGGAAATCTGAATATAAAAGGAGAATTTTACACAAGCTGAAAAATTAAGTTTTCCTTTTCTTATCTTCTTCCTAACAGCTCACCAGTAAGAGAGACAAATACCCAAAACAAAGCCCAGTAACAGCCCTACACATCACCATGGCTGCAGTAATATTGCAATAACAGAACAGAACTATAAGGTAGGGGAGACTTTAATTTTTTAGCTTTTATGTATCACTAGTGAAACATTAAGATATGCTAAGAATGTAAATACAGCAAAATATTCCACCCACAGCGCTTTATCTCCCACCTCACAGTTATACATATCCTTAGCGCTCCATCTACCATGTTGCTTTAATTTTTTTTTTAAAATATATCTTTATTGATTTCAGAGAGAAAGGGAGAGGGAAAGAGAGATAGAAACATCAATCATGCGAGAATCACTGATTGGCTGCCTCCTACATGTCACCCTACAGGGGATCAAGCCTGCAACCCAGGCATGTGCCCTTGACTGGAATCGAACCTGAGACCCTTTAGCCCGCAGGCTGACACTCTATCCACTGAGCCAAACCAGTTAGGGCTACCGTGTTGCTTTAAAATGACCAGTTTGTGCCAATCTACCCTAGTATCTGGAATAGACACTCAAAACAGGGCTGCTGAATGAATGAGTACAGGAGGCAGGGTAGGAAAGGTATAGCTGTGATTTCAGAAGGAAACAGGAAGTAGAGAAAATGCCCTTGATTTAGCATAGTGGAATGGGCTCTTAAATGTAGTGATCATCTCTTAAAAGAAGTCGAACAAACTGAGAAGAAAAAAACCTGGAAAGAGCACACCACTTATCTTTCTGTTACTTAAAAATCTGCCTTGACAGCTCAACTGGGGAAGTTATACATACATACATACATGGAGGAGGAAAAGGATAGTCAAATCCGTGTTTGATCTCGGCCCTCCCTTTACATGTGATATGATTCTGTGATGTCCAATTATTGGTATTGTTCATTATTCCTCGACTAGAGGCCCAGTGCACAAAAATTCGTGCACTGGGGGTGGGGGGGGTTCCCTCAGACTGGCCTGTGCCCTCTTGCAGTCCGGGAGTCCTCAGGGGATGTCTGACTGACTGCTTAGGCCCCCTCCTGGAGGGTGCATAAGCCGAAGTCTGGCCTCCCTCTGTGGGAGGCAACCTGGAAGGCTGATCAGGGGACAGCCCGCTCCCCCCCCCCCCCCATCTCCGTCTCCTCCCTCTGCCTGCTGGCACGCGCCTTGGCTGGCCTGGTGCCACCTGCTTGCCGGCCTAGCCCCCTGCCAACCGGCAGTTCCACTGTTTGGTTGATTTGCATATTATGCTTTTATTATACAGTGGGGCCTTGACTTATGAGTTTAATTCGTTCTGAGACCGAGCTCATTAAGGAGCTCGTTAACTCAAATTACTCTATCAACTCAATGCAAAAAATCGGCTGAGAGACAGTTGGTATCTCAAAAATCTCGTTAGTCGGGACACTCGTAAGTCAAGGCCCCACTGTATAGGATTAATGATGAGGAAGCTGAAGCCCATATAAACCAGTTAATTTGAGCCAAAGTTATGCAACTAGAAAGTGGCAGGGGGAAAAAATTCAAATTTAGTTCTGACTCCAGAATCAAAACTCTTCTATCCATGCTGCCTTTTATATAAATGTAAAACACTGATTATTTAAACACAATATGGAATAATGGGCTGAGGGAGAGGAAGGAAGATGGGGAGAGAGGATGTGATGGTGGAGATGAAGGGTATGCCTCTAGGAAGAGCATCAGCACCAAGGAAATGTACATTTTTTATGCTGAGTATGGGTACATAAAGATTAATTTCAATATTTCCTTCAACTCTTCACATACATTACAGGTAAAATATACTTAGTAATTTAAAACATTTTAGAGCTTATCTGAATCTCTTTAACTCTGCAAAGTATGAGAAGTTTTTAAAAACCCATATAAATTCAATAGTAACTTATTAGGTAGACTATAATAGAAGAGTTTTTTGCTTTTTCAAGAAACAAAAATTAAAAACCTACTAAAAGTTCCATGATAGTAATGTGAAAAGTGAGAATGGGTCTATGAAGTGGCACATGAAACATGAATTCTCTTTCCACAGACAGTGTCCCCATATTCCTTTCAAATATACAGAAATTCTTGGGTTATTTGAAAGCAGACAGACAACAATAAGGATGGTGAATCTAGCATAAACAGTAATACCTGTTTTATGTCATCCTTTGAGGCTGGCTTGGAAAAGAGTTTGAATTGCCTGTTTGAACAGGGACAATTTGCCTTTATTCCCCATTTTGCTCTTACAGAATGAACAATGTCTCCAACTTCATAGAGGGCTAAAAAAAAGGGCACAGGCAAACATCTGAACATGGATGTCACGTATTTTCAATCTCAACATGACAAAGCAGAAGCTGACGTTTCTGGCAGGATGACTATTTTTTTTAACATGCTTACAAGTCCTCCTTTTCATCCTGCTAAGTATGCCTTCCGCCAAATGTACCATTTCCTTTCCTTCCACAAAACTATTTACAAGACCTTAATCACAAAGTTTTGGGGACATTATTTTACAAATTTCTGGACAATTTATGGTACACTCTAAAATAAAGTTAGCATATAATATACTATACAAAGTAAAATGAAATCACCTTTGAGCTAACCAAAACAAGGTGGAAAAAAAATCATTACACCATGTAAAATACCTTTTCCAGGGATGATCTGTGTAGGCATCAGGTTCTCTGGTTCATGGATTTGACTCTTCACACACCTTATCCAAGAGAAAGTCTTGTAGGCAGAACCTGCAAATAACTGATTTGTAGTAACTGATCTCATGGACTCTGGCCCCAAATACCTCAGGAATCCATCACCACTAACCAATAAAAGGATTAATCTAAGGGTGTTAAGGGGTCTGGAGGAGAATCAAGTCAATCCTCACCCTGCTGGAAATTTTTCCTCTTCATCCGGTAGCAATCCACACACACTCCAAACCCACACCGAGGACACACCCAGTGCAGGTTGAAGATGGTGGTGTCACACACATCGCACATTTCTCGAACACCTCTGACAGCTCGCTTCCAAGCAACCTGTCCTATAAAAATCAATAAATCACTTAGTCTTGGGAAAAGAGGGCTTATGAAATATAACTTGAAGGGGAAGGGAGCTGATGTTACTCCTCCCTCTGACTGGAGTTCCCATTAGTTCTGTTCAACACCCAGAGTCCATCTCAACTCCACCCCACCCACAGGCCTCTTCACACCATAAGCAGTTGGGGGGTGCAGTTTTACCCCCTAGGAGATACTCGGGCTCTGCACCCCTGCCCCCCCACCCTTCAATGAGCTCTGCATACCACTGATGTGAGTTAAGTGTACTGAATAAATCAATAAAAAAAGAAAATAGTAGTGGTTACACTGGAGTTCAGACACAGGTATCACACTACAGTGGTTCTTCATGTTTAGGGTCATGAGGCCCTTTGAGAATCTGAAGGCAGCATGGACCATGCTTTCTCCAAAGGAAAAACAAATTGACTCAGATACACAAACGCAACATTTGACATAATCTCAGGTTAGTCACAGATGCCCTGAATCTACACAGTCTGCCCATTAAAAACCCCAGGGTGCTTAGGGAAACGGGAGGGAGATGCACATTAATTTAGTGGGGGCACAATAGTCCATAGTTCCTTCATGGGACAGAAACTTGATTTTGTTAGTGCCAGGAGTGATGTGGACACCCAAGACTGACTCATACTAACCAAAATATCCAACAGATCTATATATATAAAAGCCCAGTGGCTGGAATGGCAGAACAACCAGAATGACTGGTGGCTATGATGTACACTGCGGCAGCCAACCAGCCTGATCCAGGCCCTGATTGTGCGCCACCCCCGCCAGCCCCTCCCACCTCGCCCCCCCGGGCCAATGCCCCTGTCTGGCCCTGCCCTGGATCGGCCCCCAACACCCCAACTGGGGGTAAGGCCAGCTGGCCAACTGCCCACAGACCCTCCCCCATGCAGGCCCAGCCCAATGGGTCCTCATCAGGGTGGGCTAGCCGGACCCCACCCGTGCAGGATTTCGTGCACCAGGCCTCTAGTTAAGGCATAATCCAGAATTCTACAAAGTACCATTCCCCATTCCAATGGCCAAGCCCTGATAATGGGGGAAGGGCCTTCCAGAAATGGGCAGGACATATAACCCGCTCCCCACCTATGCAGAAATGCCAGATCAGATGATCAAATCAAGTATTAGAAAGTTTCAAGGAGTATAAGCAGAGAAAGGACATTTTCTGGGTCAGACAAAAGCCCAATGTCTGCTGATCAGAACACTCTTTTCTGTGTGTCTCCCTCTCCCGAACAAGACTGGATCAACACTGCCACATGCTTGTTCTATGGAGAGCATTTCCCGCCCCCCCAAGTCCAGTTTGTGGTTAATTTATTCATTCTTCAGACTGACCACAATGCAAATGACCAACTTCATTTTGCACTGAATTAATCCAATTGCTGAGTGAACTTCTGCCATTTCATTATAATGCAATAGCTCACTGTATAATACACAGAGCTTTAAGCATTTTGCAAATGAGATTTTATGAACTTCACCTTGGTCACTTGTATTAGACTGTTTTATTAGAGAACATTCTTGGATCTCTGAGCCACCATTTAATGATTTTTTGTCACTGAAAAGACAAAGTAAAAGTATAAACGTTGAGCTCAGCCTCCTAATCTCAGGATAAGAGTAATCCCTTTGGGAACATCTTGTGGCATCTTTCAGTATCACTCAAAGTGAGTTCCTCTCTCCAACTGACCAGCTGGTTAGAGGAAGTAAAAAGGAACAGAAGACTCAAACAAACAACAAGGAAAGGTTAATCACATTTAAATCTTCAAGGACAGAGTTTCTTAATTATGCCTATTTCTGTATGAAAAAAAAAAATGCATTTTCCAGATGACTCACCTACAGCAAAGAAAAGACATCAGTTGCTTTAAACAGCTCTGATGATTTGAGAATGAAGTACTAATATGTTCCAAAGAAGTGTTTCTGTATTTCGATCATTATATGCCACCTTCTAGATCAGCAGTCGCCAATCTTTCGGACCGCATGGACCACCAGTGGTCCGCAGACCACTGGTTGGTGACCGCTGTTCCAGATCACTTAAAATTTTTTTCTTTAAATCTACTACTTTTACTTAAATGTACATAATAAAGGCACTTTGTATGTCTACCGAAAAGAGAAAACCATCATCACATGCCTTAAATAGAAGATTACGAGAAAACAACAACAAGATTCTTTATTAGAGTCTCTGCTACCCAAACAGAATAGAGTGATTCTAAAGCTGCTCTTCTCTTCAGCATGACTTGTCCCAGGGCTCACAATTCTATCTCCCCACCTGAATTCCTGCTCCTCGGAATGCCCCATTCCTTGGGCTCTGAGATGCAATAGTGTCAATACCTGTCCAATAAATTATTTTCATTCTTAAGCTAGCTTCAGCTAGTTTCTGGTACCTACAACTAAAAATCTTTTTAAAAAAAATATATTTTATTGATTTTTTTACAGAGAGGAAGGGAGAGGGATAGAGAGTCAGAAACATGGATCAGCCGCCTCCTGCACACCTCCTACTGGGGGTGTGCCCGCAAGCAAGGCACATGCCCCCGACCGGAATCGAACCTGGGACCCTTCAGTCCGAAGGCCGACGCTCTATCCACTGAGCCAAACCAGTCAGGGCTACAACTAAAAATCTTAAGGCTGTATGGGTAGATGCTTGCATTGAAACATTATTTGCCTATGCCAGTGGTTCTCAACCTTCCTAATGCCGTGACCCTTTAATACAGTTCCTCATGTTGTGGTGATCCCCAGTTTCATTGTTACAAATTGAACATAATTAAAGCATAGTGATTAATCACAAAAACAATATGTAATTACATATGTGTTTTCCGATGTCTTAGACGACCCCTGTGAAAGGGTCGTTCGACCCCCCAAAGAGGTCGCGACCCACAGGTTGAGAACTGCTGGCCTATGCAAAGTCTGAAAAGCTACCCACCAGAGGAATGGAAAGGTTTCATTTGCAACTCTCAACCACTTGGGAAAGAAAAATGATGGAAGAAAAGTGAGACTTAACAGACAGATGCCCCTTGGTGCTTCTGGCTGGATACTTCTGTTTTACAGAGGGACATGGACAGACAGAGGTGTGCTGTCCTCCCAGATGTCATACCCTGACATGTTATGAAGGAGCTCTGGCTCTAATGTGTCACCCACACTGATTGATTCCTATGGTTCATTGGGCTGCCTGATAAATGTGAGAGTGGAGGCCACCTGCACACACCCATATGGAACCTCCACCTATTTCCTTAAAACCTTGCCTCTAACAGAATCATTTTCATCCGAGTTTGTTCCCATTCTCATTACTGGGACCCAGCACCCCAGACTGATTCAGCAGGTCTTGGGTAGAACCTGTCTATTGTAATTTTCTTTGAAATGTATTCATAATTAAGAACCTTTGTCTTAAAGTAAACCATCCTGAAGCCTCAACCCCTTTTGGTAAGCCCACACTGCTGATCGTTGTGCAAATTCCAAAACCACCTCATCTTTACCTTTCCTAACTAAAAAGGAGCTCTACTCCTTTGGTAATCACCCCCAAGTAAACCCCCTCAGATAGGTAACTGGCTCTGATGAAACCAACAGGTAAAATCTGGTACAAAAGGAAAAATACAACCTCATTATGCCAGTCATCTAAACTTTGGGGTTTAGAAAATGAAACCTAAGCAATTAGGACTTAGGTGCCACTCAGGAACAAAAATCAAGTTGGACTCAAAAATCCTACCCACTAAGAGATGCTCTTACTGTGTGGCTCAATAGTTGACATAGCTTCCTTTTCAGAAATCACCATTTGACAGAAGTGGTCTCCAATGTTGGCCAGGATATACTTTGCTGTGTCCAAATCGATCCCCACCACGTTTTTGTTTATAGGCAACCACAAGCCAATTGCTTCACTGTCATACTTGTTTGGAGTTAAGAAACCTTCTACCCGCAACACACCATGTTTGTTGAATTTTAACCTAGAAGAAGTAGAGAAAAAACAGGTGCATTTCACATACACACAAAATTAATTTATAATTTATAGTTCCTAATTCAATCAAATTCCTTCCCAGTTTTCTATAATCTGCATGGCTAATTACAGCCAATTGTTATTTGGCAATGTCAGTAGAAAGATAAAAAAAATATTCCCCAAAGACATGGTAGGGAACACCTGCCAGACTTGGGGGCAAGAATAATCACAAGTCACCAGAGAAGTAAAATGACCAACACAAGGTGGTAAATTATCTGATCAGATCTGAATACAAATATTGCTTCAAGAAAAATGCTCAGCAAGGGAAGGCTAACCCTAGATAGTCACTGAAGCCATGACCACGTAGGTATTTAGCACTCATATGAATCCTAGCTGCTAATTAGGGTGCAAGCTCCTAGAGTGAGCGGCAGTGTTAAGGTGGGCCTCAGTACCTAAGAGAGAGGAGTAGTAAAAGGCAGAATACTTTCTCAGTATTCTCGTTCAATATTTTTGACACCTGAATGTTTTTTCTAAGCTATGTGTTGGTTTTTAATTTATTTTAAATACAACATTAAATGTCAATCTATTCTGAGACACATAGAAGTAGATAACCATAGTGAAATAGAATATAATAGGTAAAACAATCATTAAATTTTATAGGAACCAGAGGTTTGTGTGGCTAATGTAAAGATAAAAATAGTAAGTAAACTTGACCTTGCAATAAAAAGGTAGACATTAGGTAAGGGAAGGCATGGCAAGGAAACAGGGACCTGGATTTCACTAGTCACCAACAGTTATGAAAACTCAAGTCTGTGAGACACATGAAGTTGTATTTTAGAAAAACCATTTGCCGCCCTGGCCGGCTTGGCTCAGTGGATAGAGGGTCAGCCTGCGGACTGAAGGGTCCCAGGTTCGATTCCGGCCAAGGGCACATGGCTGGGTTGTGGGCTCAATCCCCAGTAGGGGACGTGCAGGAGGCAGCCTATCGATGATTCTCTCTTATCACTCGTGTTTCTCTCTCTCTCTCCTTCCCCCTTCCTCTCTGAAATCAATAAATATATTTAAAAAACAAAACAACAACAAAAAAACCATTTGCCTAGAAGAGCATAAAATGAACTGAAAATACACTGGAAGTTGCCTAAGAGATGCAAGCTTATTTTTAAGCAGTCCAAAGGAGATATGCAAGTTTTTAACTGATAGCTTAAATTAGAGATAGTCATTATACTAAAAAATGAATTTAAAAGCCATTTCAAAAGGGAAGGAGATGGCAAACTGGGCTTTATCACTGAGACCCTACCCTACCCCCTCCTATTTTGTCTGCAGAAGAAGTTAATGAGAAACAAACTTGATGAGAAAGCTTGTGATAGCCTCAATCTTCACTGTAAACATTGGGGGGTGGGGAGAATGTTTTTTTAATTATTATGTTCTTTTTAACCATAGAAATGAGTTTGTTCTAGTTCTACTAGATTGGCTTCTACTATGTAACATTAAGTAAAAGCACTTTCCCCTTCAAAGAGGTCAAAAATGGGAAAATAGCCGGTCAGTGTGGCTCAGTGGATGAGCACTGACCTATCTTAACCAGGAGGTCAAGTTTCGATTCCTGTGGGAGCACATGCCCAGGTTTCGGGCTTGATCCCCTGTGTGGGGGGTTGGGGGG